GGCGAGCGCACACGTCCTATAGCAAAAATCTCTCACTCAAAAAACAAAAGGTAAAGGAGAGAATGAACTAGGGACGCAAGAACTGGAGGTCGTGGTGGGCGTTGGAAGGCAGAGACAGCTCCTTGTGTATATTTTCTTTGTTAAAAGATGCTAATGCTGGGCCCAGCAGGTGATATTGAGGTTAAGACACTGGATCCCACAGAGTCGACTGTGCAATTCGAGTCCTGGAGGCGGTGACTTGAGAATCACTCTGGGTGTATGCACATACGTGCTCAAAATCTCAAGAGGAGAATGGAGAAGGGAATGCAGCATAGCCATCTCCCCACGGGCGGGGATGGGGTGGGGAGATTTTTCACTTTCCCTTTCTTTCTCTCTCTCTCTCCAGGCAAGCACACACACACCCTATAGCAAAAACTAATATAAAAAATAAAAATAAAAACATACAGACAGACACTGATGCTGGTCTTTATGATGATGATAATGAATAATTACCCATTATGAGGCATGTGCGTATCACATGTAAGCCCTGTCCATGCACACCTCTGATGACAGGTGGACAGGACATAAGAGTAACATCACAGAGGAAGCTTAGCTCAAGAGTAGAAACCTAGGGAGACCTTGGTCTGCTGGCCGAGTCTCTCTCTTTGTCCAATATTCCTGCAGTGACTGGGCCAGCACCCCAGTTCCTCCCTTTCTATTTCCTGTCTCTTCTAGAAGCCCAAGGAGCTCAGAAGGTTAAATGAGAGCAGTCTTCACAGGTGACAGGTCAACTACACAGGCGGTACGGGGGAACAGAGCTCTGCCTGCAGTGGGGATTTTAAGAGATTTTTGCTATAGGGTGCATATGCTTGTCTGAGAGACAGAAAGACAGAAAGACAGAAAATGAGAAATCACCCTTTAAAGGGGATGTCCACACCACAATCCTTTCTCCTCCATTCTCCTCTTGGGATTTGGGGCATACATGCACATGTGACCGGTGTGAGTTTTAAGCTACCAGGTCTGGAACCCACACCATAGTCAACTACATGGGAGTCCAACAACGTAGCCATTACACCATCTGTTGGTCCCATTTTTTTTTCTTTTAATACTGTTGAGTACATGTGTTTGTCAGAGAGAGAAGGAAATGAGAAATCATTCCCTGAGAGGATGGCCATACCACAATCTCTTCTCCTCCAATCTCCTCTTGGGAATTTGGACATGTATACACTCACACACCTGCCACCAGGTCTGGGACTCAAACTGCACAGTGGCCATGTAGGATCCAGCACCTTAACCTCCACACCACCTACCTGCCCCAGTGGTGAAATCTTTTAACTGCCATTGTAAAGTCTGTTTAGTCATTGTATTATCTATGTACTTATGGTCTAGAGAGGACAGGTCTGATTCTCTTACATAAAGAGGTTAATACCTGACTCAAAGTCTTTACTTAAGGAAACCAGGCAAGAAAAGTTTCATCTGCCAAGCCTTACTGCTATATATAGGCATTATTTGTTTAGCTCTTATCCAGAAGCTAAATAGCTAAGGGAAAGAAGCATGTTAACCTCTAAAAAACAGTGCACTAAAGGGACCAGCAGTTAGCGTAATGGCTATGTTGCTGGACTCCCACTTAGTTGACCGTGGTTCGAGTCCCAGACCCAGTGGCTTAAACTCACGCCGGGCACGTGTGCGTGCGTGCCCAAGATCCTGAGAGGAGAATAGAGGAGAAGGGATTGCGGTGTGGCCATCCCCCGTGGGGGGTGATTTCTCGCTTTCTATCTCTCTGTCTCTCTCTGTCTTTCTGGCAAGCACACGCGCCCTATAGCAAAAACCTCTACAAACAAACAAACAAAAACAGTAGACTAAAGGGTAGCCCTGAAAATGGCGGGGATTAGGGGATATTTTGGCCTCAGGAACATACACATTATTGACTACGGTTTCTTTCCTTTGGTGCACTGAGCATGCAGGGAAACATTTGGGAGCAGATGACAAGGTATATCGAAGCTCTTCCTCCAACAATCGAGAAGCAGAGAGACCCATTCTAACCAGAGAAACGACACTAACAGAGAAACAAGGCAGCATACGAGGGCTTTCAGGGCTGAGCCAGCCTCATTCCAAAGATTCAACATTCGTGAAAGAGTTTGGATTTTGTTCTAAGTTAACAGAATCATGTTCTTTTTTTCCTTCTTTCCTTCCTTTCTTTCTTTCTTTTTTTTTATTTATTTATTGATTTTTGGTATAGAGTGCTCATATTCACTGGAGAAACAGAGAGAGAGAGAGAAATCACCCTCCGGGGGGGATGGGTATGTTGCAACCCCTTCTCCTCCAGTCTCCTCTCAGGATTTTGGGCATACATGCACATGTGCCTTGGGGAGCATGTATGATACAGTGAGAGGGAAAGTGAGAAATCATCCCCCAGGGTGGGGAGGGGAGAGAATGCCATGCTGCAATTCCTTCTCCTCCATTCCCCTTCTGAGAACTTGGGGACACAACACACATGCCCGGGACTCGAACCGCCTTCAGTAACGTGGCAGTCCAGGCCTTAACCACTACACCACCTCCTGACCCTCAGAATCATACTCTAATGAAGATATAGGAATAGGGGACCAGCAGTTAGCGTAATGGCTATGTCACTGGACTCCCATGTAGTCGATTGTGGTTCGCATCCCGGACCCGGTGGCTTAAAACTCACGCCGGGCGCATGTGCGTGCATGCCCAAGATCTCTAGAGGAGAATGGAGGAGAAGGGATTGTGGCATGGCCATCCCCCCTGGGGGGTGATTTCTCGCTTTCTGTCTCTCTGTCTCTCTCTGTCTGGCGAGCGCATGCGCCCTATAACAAAA